AAAACAACCCAAGAGCCCAACTTCAAGACAATTGCACAAGTCAACATCAAGTGCAGTATCTACCAAGGAGATGCTCTGTCCCCGCCGCTGTTCTGCATAAGCCTGAACCCCCTTCAGTCAGATCATCACCAAAGTGGTTAGGGATACTGACTATGGAATGGAGCAACCATCAGCCACCTCCTCTACATGGATGACATCAAGCTGTATGCCAGGAATGAACGAGACGTCAACTCACTGATCCACACCACTAGGATCTACAGCCAGGACATTGGAATGTCATTCGGACCGGTTAAGTGTGGTCAAATAGTAACAAGGAGAAGGAAGGTAGTCAGAACTGAGGGGACTGTACTATGAGAAGGCAACATAGCAGATGTTGAGGGCAGCTACAAGTACCTTGGGATCCCACAGGCAAATGGGAACCATGAAGAGGCCGCAAGGAAAGCAGCAACCACCAAGTACCTGCAGAGAGTAAGGCAAGTCCTGAGAAGTCAGCTGAATGGAAAGAACAAAGTCTGGGCGATTAACACCTACGCCCTGCCAGTCATCAGGTGCCTCGCTGGCATAATAAGCTGGCCAAAGGAGGAGATAGAGGCCACTGACATCAAGAAGCTCCTTACAATGCACGGCGGGTTTCACCTGTGAGATATTAACTGTGTGAGACATTGCAATTCAAGCATCAACACTGTTCACTGTGCACACATAAGAGTGTGTATTGTAGAAAACACTAGTATCTTTATGCACTTATATGGAATGTAACTTTCACTGGGTTTGAAGTATGGGCACTGTTTCATATGACTGAACTGAACAAGAATGTAACCTTCAACCATGTTTTAATCAGTTGCAATGTGTGTTCACTCTAACATTGAGATGTACTTTTGGGAGTAGTGCTTACCACTGCTTCACATGAAGGGAGTCACAGGAGAAAGCAAATGATTGAAAACAGTGGACATAAAGATGTCTGGTTACACTCCACTGTTTATACTTAATGAACTGATAAGGATAAGTTTTAGCTTTCTCAGCATTACTGAGTGTTCATGTAATCATTATGTGTATGTGTGCTTTTGATCACAGGAAAGTACCTTAGTTTTAGGGAGGAAGACTTAA